TCAGTCGTTAACCAGTCTGATTCGGCAGAACTTGGGTTACAACCAGTTTACATTGAGGCATAATATATTATTCTTCTCCAAATTTATAAAAGGGAAAAACGAACGAGGCTAAGCTGATGCAAGGTTATGAAGCCCCTTCTAATATTGTTGGGAATATCAGAACCCAGGATGTACACTAGATTAGAGAGTTCATAAAAAATAACTTTCTCCGTGGAACACAGCTCAGCTTTAAGAAAGATAAACATCATTTTCATGAACGGGATCCTGGGATCAGATTATATTTTAGCATATATTTTTCACACTTACTGATTCAATGAACATTCAAGATTGAGTTCTGTTGAAATTTCGGATGTAAAACAACCAATATACAAATGATTTCAATCTATTTAATGACGACATCTCAGTACACATAATAATATAAGACCGCCTACTTTCTCAATAGTGAGTGTCTTTGTGGGACGACGACAAATCGCTACATAGGTCTGTTGTTAACAGATCATTATGTATCATAAACTCATTCATATATCGCCTTTCAACATCACCTTTCATTCGCACACTCCAGTCTCCTCACATCGCCTTCATAATTGAGTCAGTAACTTGCTTGTTTCTTGAAACATCCATCACTCAGAATTCGAATGTTTTCTTTATGGTTTTATTTATTGCAATCAACTATCTGCCTAGTAATGTGATAGCTGCTCATATTCATTATCGCTACTGATCTGAGACGAACTCATTCACTCAAATTACAAGCCTACAATTAACTAACAAACTGACTAGAATTAGGTCAATAAAATGAATAGACCACTATTTATTGGGCATTACCAGGGGCTTGCATATGTAAGGAAACAAGGAGAAACAAATTCAAAGAAATCGCCTGCCTCATGTAAAGGCATCAGACAGTAAGCACTGAAGTGTATATGGTTTTCTATATTCTATTTCGTGCTTGAAGAACAGCTCGATTCATTTCTGATACGTCTTGTAAGTTGAACGCTATATTCAGATCCTAAGATATTCTGATAACCCCAGGCTAGAACTACTCAGTGACTTGAACACCTGGGAGAAGACTTGAGTATGGGAGAAACACTTTACTGCAAGGTTCATTCATGTACAGAAAATACAGGAATTTTAGAGTAATTAAGAGACCTTGAGTTTACATAGTAGCAGTGTGTTAATCGGCCAATCAGGATCTCGTTATTTTAGTAACGTAACTTCACACAACTTCTAATTAATCGCTGATTGGTTGGGGCTCTTTATGAGCCTCTGTTAAAGTTCTCTAGGTATCCAGACTGCATTTGCCGATTTCACCTGTGGACCATCCTCACAATTTCGCAGTTCTTGTTCTTCCTTTATGTCATAAAAAAGAACGCTCAACAAGAAATTCCTATAAGTGGAACTCCACTCTTCAAATATTTCAATAAAAATGGATACCTAATAATTTCACACACTGTTTCTCAACAATGATAAAGGTGTCTTACTCGATCTCAAACCTTACAACCACCTCCGTAAGCTTTTATTTTTAGTACAAACTGAGGTGAGATTTAGTAGAATGGGCCTCATCAGAGTGTATGTGCAAAACATTTATTTGAATATCATCCACTGTAGTCCTACTTTTTCCTATAGTGAGTATAGAAATCTCAAATTCGTGATCTCATCGATGAACAGGTTGTTTCCTTAATAACTCATAGGATACAATAATAATAATATATATGATTATTTACCTTCCACATAAATGTGATAATCCTTAATAAGGTTATCGGGCTGATAACTAACAGGTGTTTAAGCTTAGCTTCATAATCAGGAATAACAATTTCACCCCCTCAATTTTATGGTAATTTGACCGCTCGTCACTTGTTATACTAGTGATTTGACGACTAAATCAACTAACAACTCAATAGTTGTGATAAGATGGATTTCATCTGGAATTGAAAGATTTAAGATGGTGGAGTAGTCGAAAAAATTTATTTTCATAGTAAAGGCGAGATCTATCAGCAATTACCCTTCCTTAAGATCGATGGCTGGTCCCCACCGTGAGCATTAGAAAACAAACGTCCGTTGGGACGATCTTATTAATGTCAAAATCATCAGCCACTCGCTCCAGTAGATCCTCATGAGATAGATGTTACGGGTCTCGTCACTTCTTTTTTTTTAAACACTAATCGTTTACGTCTGCATTGATGATCATGTACCAGTTGATCTCAAAATAATAAGATGGATTCAGATACCAAAAGTCTGCACTCATCGATATTCATGTCCCATGTGTATATGTACTAATCAGATGCGATAAAAATGAATATGTCCAGAAACCTTCTCCCTGATGGTTATTTTCCGTGCTTCACTGTATGTACTTCCGGTTTCCAGAAAAACGTTTCGAATAATCTGTATTCTTCTGTCAGCAGGATACATACTATTGTAGTGGGTTTCGAGTCGAGGACGGACTATGATCACCACTACTATTCGGTTACGAGGCCAAAAACGACTTGGTTCCTTTGATAACTCGTAAATCAAAAGGCCTTATTAATCCAAATCAAGTATATTTATTGGCGATCTCGTGGTATCGATAGAATACGGAGACGTGCCAAAGGGTACAGGTGAAATGGGCAGAGCGTAAGAAAGTTCGAACCAAACAAAGCGGATAGTGGAACGAGAAGTGAGTCTGGTACAGTTAAACAAATACAGTAAAACATTCACTGGTACAATTGGTTACAATATTAATAATTGTTTCTATTGTTCCAATCGCGTTCTTATCGAGACTGGCCGGTCACTACACTATATCAAAACGTTTCATGCAAGATAGTTAAAAAACACACTGTGTAAGATACAAACCAAGTTTGGCTGAAGAATAATTGTCTATTCACGTAGAAACGCGTGGGTCCCACTACAAATCAGAACAAGGTGATTTGGGAAACAACGGTTCTAAATTCCATCATAAATACGAATGTAAAATTTTACCTAAACAAGTATTATTATTCGGTTATTCAACCAATAATTATTCCCACAATAAATAGATAAACTGATAAGACATATATGAAAATTACCGAACGCACCAAAAAATAAGTGTCATTCTATCCTTTCTGGATAAATGAAGTAGAAATCCGTTCAAAAGGTAATAGTTTGTTGCTTTATAGCACAAAGTGTTTCAAATCCTGGGAAAGTACTCCAATTCATAACCAAAATGCACGATCCCAGTCAAATAAAGCAACACAATCCAAGAAGGAACAATCAATATGGCCGCCGCCAAGATTAAATATCAACTAAAACAACGTGAATACAGTCCAGAAAGAAACACAGGAACTTAGTGAAAGCGAAAGGGATAACTATTATAAAATGGAACAGTACAATCTCAAATGGCATCAAAAAAGACTAAAAAATGTACAACTAAAGAAACCATTTAGAGCAAGTCGCAAATGTATGCATGGATGGATTTTCACATACGAAACCTTCAAAATTGATCTTACACAGTTTGAGCTATTATTGGCCAATCCTAGGGTCTCCTACTTTCAATTGCTATTTATTCCTATTCAGCATCTTTCCATCTAGGAATACAGTTGTCTTCTTTCAGGCCGTGCTTACTGTTTTGGAAATAGCCGCATATGAAGCATACTAACCAATAAGGGTGACGGAGTCAAATAACGTAGTCAAGACTCCCTTTGTTTCTTGATGTACTAATTCACTGTGTGCGAACTCTGTGTAGCTGTGACCGAATAGGACAGAACCTTTACCCTACTCTCCTAGAACTAAGAAAACCCCTGCAGCTCCTCAAAGACACTCCCCACCCTGGTCTTTTCGCTTTTGTCAAGCCATTCGAAATACTAATCCAGTACTCTTCTACAGTGGTCAAAAATTTACAAAAGTATCTAAATTTTGCCTAAACATCTAGTCTATGTCTACCTGAGATGGAATGAAGTCAAATAACCGACGGTATAACTATAAAACCTAATCCATATCGCACAGATATTTCATTTGGTTTCTTTAACTTCACTACGAATTACGGGACCGTAAACTAGGACCGATAGTTTCATATCTGAATGACTGCTCGTACTTAGATTTAATAGCCTGCCACTTCGACCAACGCCGTTCCATCTGGAAGTCAATGAAACCAATCTCACCGACTAATTGTAAGAGCGATCCCTATTGTCAGGACAACAGAGTTCAGGACCACTTTTTTAACGCAATCTACCGGGAAGCGAGGCCGAGCACAATTGTGATTTCAATATGGTCTATGCTACTTGCGTCGACAGGCATAAGTAGTATGTAATACCAACCAGAAGTTGAGTGACTCAAAAGAAAGGTTGGAAAGATTGAGCTCAAGAAAACAGAAAGGAATTGTGGATTGGAAGACCCATGGAGGATGTAAAGGGCAGTTGGTGAGGGATATGCAAATGAGGTATTTTGTGTATGGTTTCCACAATTTACGATAGAACCCTGTAATTTTACATTATATGAGAAATTACTTATGCCCACCAAACCTTCGTTCACTATAGTAGTGACTTGTATTTCTTATGCCTTCGTAAAACTCTGTCCAGTATTGCCAACAGGACACTAGCCTGGCATTTATTTTTATGTTGTGGTGAAAACTTTTCATTGAACTACAAATATTATGAGTTGAACAAACCCCTATTACATAACAATATGTGTGGTAACGCAATAGTAAATTCATCGACCTCAGTTATCATACGGACAATAACTATATGGCTACTTCACTAAATTACTCTGTCGAAACTCTCCTGATTAGGTCTAATGACCGTATTCTCTAACTAAACACCAGTCCTTTGATAAAACTATAATAACATTACGTAACACAAATCACGTATAACACGAAATAAGACAAACTGCTTGATGTTTAATGTAAAATAACACAAAAGAACAATAACCGAAAAATTGCATAGCGAAAAAATATATTACATATATTTTGTACACAGTTCAGAGCCCAGAATAAAAGAGCGAAATAGAAATAACAGACATCTAGTCGCTCGTTTTTGACAGTACAAGGACTCTAATAATCACGCCTCAACACCGCACATAACTTGTTCTCTATGTGATCGATAGAGTGATAAAAGTTCAGGCAATGGTGCATTGCAATCAAATACCTATATTAAAATACAGAAATCACATTTAATCGTGGCAATCATATACTTAAAATAGATAGTGAGAATAAACTGATCAAAATGAAACAATGGAATGATGTATAATTTATTGATAGCATGAAGCACTACTTATGAAATTATAATAAAGTAATAAGTATTTAGTCTAAAATGTTCCCTAAATATAACTGAGCAACAATTTAGGTTATGCGAAAGTAATATGATGTTAAACATAAACCAACTACATACAAACGATCAAATATCAAGTAGGTTACTTGGTCAACAACAAGAAAATATCACGAGTTAAACAGTTTAATAATCAGTTAATTGAAAATGTGATTTATGAGAAGAAAGACTGGAGGAATGTTAACTCCAAGATCTAATTTAGGGATTATTAATAATATAAATATTCTTTATTGTATAATTACGTAGCAGATTGATTATATATGCATATATGTACATGTATATACATTCCATTTATCACAAGCCTTCGGTTAAACTATTAACTATTTTTATACGACTTAATATCCCTAGTTTGCCAATCTGCATAATTATAGTTTGCCCCAGTTGCAACCACTATTGGTTCGTTTATGTATAGTTCTTATGTTCCATTTCACAGTATGATGCAGTTTAGTATATTTTCATATAAACCCAGGTATGTTTGAAGGATAATAGTAGTTGAAGTTGTATGCCGACGTCTTAGACTCAAGGTAGGGTATAGAGAGAAGCTAGAGAATAGAGTGTAGTGAACAATAGCACGAGTGGGGAGAATCGGATGTATTTGACAAGAAAATTAAAAACTATCTCACTAAAATCTGACAACCATACAGTAAACAGTCTCAATCTTGACCATTCCTTCTACAAATACCAGTCCAGAGTATCCGATCATTATTGTTCATGCATTTTCATGCCAATTGTGTTTCCTTTTCGTTCTTTCCTTATCGATATTCTAGTGAAATACATTCTCTGCCTAGCCATCGTCATATACTACTTATGTGGATGCAAGCAATCCACACCACATGAAGACCAATAAGAACTTACGTACATCGGCTCAAAGTCAACGGTGCTGGTGACGCGTGTAATTAGTCGATACAAGGACACTGGGTTACGGAGGAAATAACAGACAAGATATGCACGAAAAATAAAGATCCAGATTGGTGACTTGGTACGCAATACTAGTCAGTGGTCCTCAAAGTCAACAGAACATGACGCAAAAAACTTCGTTTAGAAGTATGTGCATGTAATATTGTTGAAAGAGGAATCGCATACTGCCTCAGAGATCTAAATGTTACACGTTCATTGCACTAGGACAAAACAGCTACCTAATTTATGTCGGTTTGTGACAAGAATTAATACACAGTAACTTGATCAGTTCGACTGTAGTAAACTAGTTCCTGACAAGAATCATTTAGAAATAAAGTTCGAATATTTATGATATTACTGACAACACTAATAGGAATTATGACTAGATTTTCATAATATTAAGGAGAAGCAATATATCACAAGACAGAAGGCATGCAATCAGATGGATCAGTTTTTATATCCAAATGAACCCTGTATCTTGATGTATTTGATGACTAAAATAGCAGTAATTGATATCAGATGTAAATGTAACATAGAGCACAATAATACCGCTGATTTAAGGACTCACTAATATAGGAGCAGGTAACTGACCAAAACGGCGTTCAATTAGCCATGCTTCATGTAATTCATGCAAATCTTCGAGGTATTTCTGAATAAAAAATGAAAATGTTTAGTGATGCATTTTTTCGAGTGTATATACGCACACATCGTATGTTATAAACTTAAAATGTGTATTAAATAATCACTTAAAAACTGAAAACGTAATCGCATCAATCTATAAACTTTAACGCCAAGATGTATTACATTAGGAACAATAACGGAGCAAAGCATATGTACATAGCGTACAACTCGCTTTGTACCTAACAGGCAACAATAGCTTCATGCAATATTCCATTGGCCTTAGCAACGCGAACGTCACAAGAACACCATTAACGCATAAACAGGCCAGGTACTCCTATGGTAGAGGGAAAGAAATATGACACAACTGTATGATATGACGAAAAAACTGACAAGCAAATATAGTAAACCAGAGCAATCAGTCAAGAACAAACAAGGTAAACTAATCACTAAGACTCAAGAACAGAGTACCAAGTAGGTCGAACATTTTACAAAACTCTTGAAAACACCAGTCCCCCTGAACCCACAGAACATCAAAGTAGAATCTAAAGATCTTACTATAGCTGTTAACCCACCAACAATTAAAGGAGTCAGCATGATCATCAAAAAAGAGTGGGGAATCAGCAGGATCAAACAACATATAAGCGACCAGTCATGAAAAAAACAAGACAAACCAACATCAAACGGAATTCATAAGATGGATTACATTGCAAGGTTGCGTGAGAAGGATAGCTCTCAGATGAGCTCCAAGTGATCACTGGTATCATATAAGAATGTTCACTTTCGCCTCTCCAATATCTTCTGGTGGTCGACTGGGTGGATCATGAAGACCTCTACATCTTGAGAAAAGCAAGTAATACAATGGACAGCTTGGATGTAGCTAGATGATTTGGACTTCACATACTATCTAGCTTTCCTATCACATACACAGCAACAAATTGAGGTGAAGAAAGCCCGTGTAGCATTAGCCTCTGCAACAGTATACTTCAACATATATACACAGAGAAAAAGCAAGAACCTTAAATACAACACAGATAGCAACAACCTAAAAAACCCTTGATGGAAAAACTCTGGAAGAGGTGGACACTTTCATGTACCTGGACAGTATCACTGATAAACAAAGATGATTTGATACAGATGTAAAGACAAGGATTAGCAAAGCAGGGAGAGCATTCCTACAGTCGGGAAACACATGCAACTCAAAACAACTGTCTAAATTAGAATCTTCAATACGAACGTCAAGACAGTTCTACTGTACGAAGCTGAAACTTCGAGAACTACTACAACCACTATCGAAAATGTAAAAGTATTTATAAACCATTATCTACACATGATACACAGTATCCGCTGACTGGATACCATCTGCAACAACCTATTGTGGTAGAGAATAAACTAACTGCAAGCTGAAGAGTAAATTAAGAAAAATTCTGGAGGTGGATAGGGCATTTATTTTTATTTATTTATTTAAACACATATATATTGGTACAAAAGGGCACCAGGTACATATGCGCCACACAAAATAATGAAAGTAGCAAGAGAAGGGATGGAAAGATAAAGCGGGCTGAAATGTACAACCAGAAGACTCTTTCAGTTAGGAAAGTTAGAACCATTCTTTATGTAGAAAGTAAAAGAAGGTTGCAGCAGGATCGCCACTGGCTTCTATTCTGAGCCATATCTGATAACGTCTCCAGCCACTGTGTTGCACCATCTCTCGGACCCCAACCAGGAAGTCGTGAAGGACCAACAAAAGCTAGCCCTTTGCAGCTCTCTTTCATGCCACGACACCATGTCATACACTGACCTCCTCTCCGCTTTTTCCAACCAGTCCCAATGTCGGCAAATAATGCACGACGTGGAAGTCTCTGGGACGACATTCGTAAAACATGTCCAAGCCACCGAAGTCGGTGTTTCAAGATGGTGACACCAATTGAATTATCGTCTCTGCGCCCGAACACACGATGCCGAACCTCTGCATTACTAACATGGTGTTGCCACTGGATGTCAGCAATCCTTCGGAGACAACGATGATCGAACACAGAGAGACGTCTAACATCCTCAACTCGGAGAGGCCAGGTTTCACAAGCATAGAGCAAAACTGCTCTCACCGACGCGTTGTAGATCCGACCTTTTACAGCCAGACTAACATCACGAAGGCGCCAAAGATGGCCCAGATTGGCATAAGCCGCTCTGGCTTTCATTATACGTGCACCAATCTCATCACTCACGCCACCACCAGCACTTATATAGCTACCTACATACACGAACTTCTCAACTACTTCAATCTGCTCACCATCTAGGGTGAGTGCAGGATGAGAATCCTGCCAGTCTTGTAGGAGTACTTAGCACTTGGAGGGTGCAAAGCACATACCGTACCTGCGGACACTGATTGCCAACTGATTAAGTGCTGATTGCATGCCTTGGGCATTATCGCACAGTAAGACAATATCATCCGCATACTCAAGGTCGAGAAGTCGTTCTCCAGGCAACATATCCACACCGCCATTACTTACATCCATCAGAGCTGCTTCCAGGATGTCGTCGGTGGCAAAGTTGAGGAGGAATGGTGAGATCGGGCAACCCTGTCTAACCCCACTGCTCGAATGGAACAAGGGAGAAAGGTGGTTGTATGCCCTCACTCTGCCTGAGGTGTTCGTATACAGGGCCTTTAAGATGTTAATGAACTTCCCAGGCACACCCTTCTTCAATAGACAATCCCAGAGAACAGTCCTGTACAACGAATCGAAGGCCGCCCTGATATCCAGAAACACTACGATTGTTGGCCTGCGATAAGTATGACGGTGTTCTAACATTTGGCGGAGGGTGAAGATGTGATCAATGCATCCTCGACCAGAACGAAAACCAGTCTGCTCCTTGCGAGTCAATCTTTCTCAGGTTTAAAACAACCTACGAAGAATGATAGAAGCCAATAGTTTGGACGCAATCGAAAGTAGACTTATCCCCCGATAGTTATTGCAGGAACAACGTGAACCCTTTTTAAAGATAGGGACGACTATTGACTCATTCCAAGATGTTGGAACACTTTCTTGCTCTCAAACCTTTGCAAACAACACAGTCAATTCCTTAGCCAGAAAGTCACCACCATCTTTAAAAAGAGCCGGAGGTAAGTCATCTGGGCCAGGTGATTTATAACGTTTCAAGAGTTGGAGTTCCTTGAGGACTTCCGCCTCGTTTGGTGGATCAGTCGTCACCGACCATGGGGGGCAGGACAAGCTGGTTGATGTTGCCGGAGCAGCAGGCCAGTTGAACTGCCCTTCGAAAAATTCCGCCCATCGTCCAAGACGTCGACAGATGTTAGTGATTGGCATCCCGTCATCCTCGTAGATTGTTTCACTCACACCAGACTTCTTGCTGCCAGTGGCTCGGATGAGTTGGAAGAGCTTCCGGCAGTTACCAGATGCAGCTGCTGCTTCCATCTCATTAGCACGTTCCGACCACCAGGCTTCCCGGTCCTTACGCAAGCTTTGCTCAATTTCATTACGTAACAGCCTTCGTTTGTGGTCAAACTCACGGTCACCCGGAGTAGACCGACGGGCTTCCATCAGTTGTAAGGAGCCAGAAGAAACCCAGTGCTTGTAAGCGGGACGTTTCGCGAAGCCGCAAGCGGCTTTACTCGCCATTTTCACGGCGTCGTGAAGATGCAACCAATGCTCATCTATACTTTTCGGTGGGGTGTTAGCTAGCCTAGAGGCTAGCTCCGCTCGGTACTTACTTGCAACAGGAGTTGCAGCCAGTTTACTAATATCAATCCGTTGGTGGTGGTCAATCCTTCGGCCACTGAAAAGTAAGGTGAGATTGGCGCAGACCAGGGCATGATCAGACTCCAGATAGGTACTCCAAAAGGAGCGGCAGTCTTGTACACAACCACGCCAGCGGTAGCTGATCGCGATGTGATCAATCTGAGTCCAGGCTTGGGATGCAGAGGGAGGACGCCAGGTGGCACACCGGCGATGACTGTGCCGGAAGTTAGTGCTGGCCAGAAACAGGTTGTGGTCTGTGCACAGTTGCAGCAAACGGTCCCCGTTAGCTGCCCTGCGACCAGCAAGTCCCCATCGGCTACCTAGACGACTCTCTTCTGTGCCTAGACGCCCGAACTGTGCATTCAAGTCTCCGGCTAGTACTACAATATCTGTCGAACGCGCTTTCTGGAGAAGAACTGTTAACTGATGGTAAAACTCAACCTTGATTGCATCCGGGCTGCAATCTGTCGGGGCATAGGCGGAGATGACGAAAAGACACCGTTTCTCACGCCGATTTCTTCTCACTTTGATGGAACTTTCTAATCTAACAGCACATAACCGGCTGTTAATGGGGATCCAATCGATTAGTGCTGCCTCAGCTCTAGCACTTAGTGCGACACCAACGCCAGCAAGACCAGACGAAGATGCCACAGGGTCCCCGGATAAGCGAACGTGGAACAAGCTCTTCGAGGCGACAGATGGAGAGCGAATTTGTAGTACTTCACTAGAGTCTTGAATACGGGTCTCGGATAGACAACAAACATCAACATTAAGACCTTCCAAAGACATAGCCAGCCCTATCTGTTGTCTGATATGCATTAGTGTGCGAACGTTGAAGGAAGCCAGCTTGAACGGCGTACGTGGTTTCAGAAAGACTGCTTCAGTATTCATTATCGGTGGAAGCATTCACTTTCAACCAGACAGTGACTGGAGATCGTTTAGATAGGACAGATTTTCCACCATGGGCGAGCTGCTGCATAAGTTGAAAAGTAAGGTTACACAAATTGGGGATAAAAGGGGGTGAGTTAGCGATATGGTAAATAATAATAATAATAAAGGTAATAATAATAATAATGTTAATTGTTTTGCTTTTAGTATGACCAGGGATATTATCGTCAATAGAGTTCATAATTTCATTCATTTGTGTGTGGGCTGTGATACTGCCCGGGTGCCCAAACCGAAGCAGGTGGTTTTCTTAGGGGACCACACCCCGAGACTTTGACCTAAAGGTCTGATCCACAAGGCAGTGGAGCATCGTGAGGAGATGCAGTCCCATGGTTGCCGTTGACCAATGACAGGTTCTTCCGCCATTCGTTCCATCAGGATACTGGAGCCCATGTGCACCATTGGTTTGGAATCAGGGTTTTCCAACTCCCCTAGGTGGACCCTCCGTGTCCACCAATCCGGTTATAGCGCCGGACATTCGCTTTTCGTCCTCTCACTTTCGTAAACAACACCCCCGCCACGAGAAGGCAGTGAGTAGGACTTCCCTGGCAGAGGCTATATATTCGCTGGCCATGTGAGAGCATTTCGAGAGGGAGAGTAAACTCTCCCCACTCTCGGCCGTACCAGGGCATTTGGGGGCATACAAAGAGATCATCAAACTGCATCACCAGGCAAGCTCTAACCAGGAATCCTGAAGGAAAAAAGGAAAGAGGAAGACCAAGCAACACATTGCGCCGGGAATCGAAGACAGACGCCAAGAGAATGAGTAGCGATTGCAAACAATTGGTAAGAAGAGCCCAGGACGCAGTTGTGTTAGGATATTCACAGGAATATCTCAAAAATTATATCGAATGTAAAGTGGCATGTTTTCACACTCTTCACATACTTTACATGTTATTTTCTATTGGTCATTATTTACAGTTGTAATAACTATGACTTTCACGTGTCGTTTTCCTATTGGTCAATTTTGAGTTGTCCTAATTATAACCTTTACGTGTCCTTTCTTTCCATTGGTTACTGTTAATAGTCATCTTAACTGTATAAATATGCCTTGTCAAAAAACCATTTTTGTTCTGCTGCTAACCCCATGAACAATTCTCATTTAACGGCTGTGTTCTGATTTATTGGAGTTGGAGAACAGTATTGGGGTCGAACTAGGATATCTGAATTTGGTCAATCGATAGAATTTCGTGTAGTCCTATCGCAATACGTAATATTTGGGCGAACTTATAACAATTTGGCGACGGAGATTTTGAAAACAAGTTGCTGACTAGCTATGGATCTAGTTAAATTAGAAGAATTGTTCAAGCAACAGCTGAAGCTGATGGAGATGTTTACTCAGACGCAGATCTCTTCTCGAGTCTCATGTACACCAACAATCCCTCAATCAGTCGACGGTATTACCAGTGGTATTTCAGAGTTTCTTTATGATCCTGATGCCAATATTACATTTGATACCTGGTTCAGACGTTATGAAGATCTTTTTAAGGTCGACCTTGCTGACAGAGATGATTTGTGGAAGGTGCGTCTTCTCCTTCGAAAACTTGGTCCATCAGAGCTTGATAAGCATTGCAACTTCATTCTACCACAGAACCCACGAAACCGTTCCTTCGATGCCACTGTTCAAACTCTCAGTCAACTTTTTGGTGACCATCATTCACTCTTCAATACGCGTTATCGCTGTTTAAAACTGGTCATGAACGAGTCCGATGACTTCTTAACCCATGTTGGCGTTGTCAACCGTGAGTGCGAACGGTTCAAGCTCAAATCCCTTACCGACGACCAATTCAAATCCCTCGTATTCATATGTAGTCTTCAGTCACCCAAATTCTCCGACATCAGAACTCGATTGCTGAACCGCCTTGAACAAGATCCAACGCTGACACTTAATGCAATCACCGACGAGTATCAACGCATTGTCAACCTGCAGCGTGACATCACTTTGGTCCAATCTGGGGGCCAGGGTGGTTCCGAAGTTCACGCTATTCAACGTCAGAACAAATCCCCGAGATCGACAACCTGTGGTCCTTCGAAAGCCAGTGCTCCTTCTTTCTCTAATCACTCCAGACCGGTTCAGAAGAAGCCCCCCTCTCCATGTTGGCACTGTGGAGCTTGGCATTACGTGAAATTTTGTCCATTCAAACAGCAGCTGTGCGATCGCTGTGATAAGGTTGGTCACAAAAGCCGTTTTTGCCAATCCCATCGACCCAATAGCCGTCAAAATGCACAGACGCAGCATCGTTATCCTAAAAAGCCGGTTCCCTCATCAGGAAGTTTAGCAGCAGTCTTCCACACCCATGCCGCCACGTGACGCAAATTTCTTACCCTCTCAATCAATGGTCAGCCAGTTCGATTGCAGTTGGACACTGCATCAGATATCACTATTCTATCGAAAGATACTTGGCGAACCTTGGGTCAACCTCCCATCAAACCATCTTCGCAGACAGCCGTTAGTGCATGTGGGGGTCATCTCCGCCTTCATGGTGAACTTAATTGCTGAAATTTGCGTCACGTGGCGGCATGGGTGTGGAAGACTGCTGCTAAACTTCCTGATGAGGGAACCGGCTTTTTAGGATAACGATGCTGCGTCTGTGCATTTTGACGGCTATTGGGTCGATGGGATTGGCAAAAACGGCTTTTGTGACCAACCTTATCACAGCGATCGCACAGCTGCTGTTTGAATGGACAAAATTTCACGTAATGCCAAGCTCCACAGTGCCAACATGGAGAGGGGGGCTTCTTCTGAACCGGTCTGGAGTGATTAGAGAAAGAAGGAGCACTGGCTTTCGAAGGACCACAGGTTGTCGATCTCGGGGATTTGTTCTGACGTTGAATAGCGTGAACTTCGGAACCACCCTGGCCCCCAGATTGGACCAAAGTGGTGTCACGCTGCAGGTTGACAATGCGTTGATACTCGTCGGTGATTGCATTAAGTGTCAGCGTTGGATCTTGTTCAAGGCGGTTCAGCAATCGAGTTCTGATGTCGGAGAATTTGGGTGACTGAAGACTACATATGAATACGAGGGATTTGAATTGGTCGTCGGTAAGGGATTTGAGCTTGAACCGTTCGCACTCACGGTTGACAACGCCAACATGGGTTAAGAAGTCATCGGACTCGTTCATGACCAGTTTTAAACAGCGATAACGCGTATTGAAGAGTGAATGATGGTCACCAAAAAGTTGACTGAGAGTTTGAACAGTGGCATCGAAGGAACGGTTTCGTGGGTTCTGTGGTAGAATGAAGTTGCAATGCTTATCAAGCTCTGATGGACCAAGTTTTCGAAGGAGAAGACGCACCTTCCACAAATCATCTCTGTCAGCAAGGTCGACCTTAAAAAGATCTTCATAACGTCTGAACCAGGTATCAAATGTAATATTGGCATCAGGATCATAAAGAAACTCTGAAATACCACTGGTAATACCGTCGACTGATTGAGGGATTGTTGGTGTACATGAGACTCGAGAAGAGATCTGCGTCTGAGTAAACATCTCCATCAGCTTCAGCTGTTGCTTGAACAATTCTTCTAATTTAACTAGATCCATAGCTAGTCAGCAACTTGTTTTCAAAATCTCCGTCGCCAAATTGTTATAAGTTCGCCCAAATATTACGTATTGCGATAGGAAAGTTGACTGTTTTTCGAGTCCTGCATGCGAGATCATGAATGCTCACCGCTGAGGATTCCAGTGATTCCAGATTTTCAGTGGTGGCCTGCTTGAACATTTGGGCTACCAGTTACTGCCATCTAGATATTTCAACAAGTTATCTAATTTTGTTTGTTTTAATACATCATTATGGCTATTATTCGCATAACCTATTAAGGTGCGTTTCTGAAAAGTGTACAACCTTTCGCTGTAAAGGTTACAAAAGACCCGACCAGAGATATCGTGGTTACTGGCAATATACAACCAAAAGAATGTACATGAATATATTTAAAAAAATATTTATTAAGATCAAATGTAGAGAATAAATTTGCGAAGAAAGTAAAAAGTATTATTTGGAATAGCATTCATTCTACGATGTTATAAGAATCCTAGACATTGAAATTTTCAGATCGTTTATGGAAATCAAGATAAATTATATTAAAGAGTTTTGAATAAGTTGTAAACTGTCATAAAGCTGTAATATATAAAAAGAGCATACGAGCAATCAAAATAAACATTACAACCCCTATATATGAGGTAATATTATGAAGAGTAATAAAATTTAACCTTATAACTTACAAGAGGAATATCTTCTTCACCAGAACGGTTTCTAGCACGTAAACGCTCGAAGCAAACAGTTGGACTTGTACGTAAATATACTAAAGTTAATAGTAAAAGAGACATTATAGAATGAATGGGTAGATTAATTGTTACACTATGACTGATCCACTGAAATGTAAGCCAAATCTATCAGGGTTAGTGGTACCACATGTATGCTTTAAATCTGTAAATTACAGCTACACACAAAGCTGTATATTTCATTGATTTGATGGAGTATATTTGTTGAAAAAACTAAGTCATGTTAACAAATTTATTAACGAATGAAACGGACTAATGTCATATATGAAGAAAAACCTAATCAGACTCTAAATGTATCATTATTCCTAAAGTTATTTAGGCAAATTGATGGAAAGAATCATGACCGAAACTGAATTTTTTTATCACATTGGCCAATTAAAAATATAAGCCTATTTCACAAAGTTTAATTCAAATAATCATTCAGTATCATTATTATAGTGCAATAAATAATGCCAACCTTCATAACATTTAAATTTTAATCTTGTTTTCTCTGTGCGTTCGACTAAAATTACAGAGCTTTGACAGTTCTCTTTTCGAAAGAACAAAAGCCTCGCATGAACATCGGTATTATGATTATCATTGACAGTATGTAAAGCCCAGTGAACAATGGTGAAAATCCTCTGGTTACTAATACCTAATGAATGTAACATTACAGCCGTGATACTTCACAAATTTTATAGTGGTTTAAAACTACAAAATGACCAAATGGAAACCAGGAAAAGCAGGAATGTTGTTTTGCCTCATTCTAGACCTTTCAACAGTGCATATACACATTACTGCACTTCTGATCATTTAATTATTTGAACACAGAAATAATAGGGTACCAAATACGTATGCGCCATACAAAAACAAAGAGGCCAGGAGCAGTCAGCAATGGTTTGTGTGATGGTTGAAATATTACCCAGACGTTTAGAACGGTAGGCGGAACACTTTAAAAAGCAGTTCAGCTGACCTACAGCTACTCTACAGCTACCCGCCGTTCCCAAACAGATTGAATGGAACACTGAAATAGACCTCCAGACTCTAATTGATGTTCAAAAAGCTACAGGTAATCTGAAATGGGGAAGAGCAGCTGATATAGATGAATTAACTCCAGGGGTTTTCAAGGATGGTGGTCCAGTTTTAGCGATTAGGTTGACTAATATTTTAGCTAAAATCTAGGAGTCGGATGTAATCCCATCTGACTGGTCGCAATCACTAATCGTCTCAATGTATAAGAAGGGGTAAAAATCATCCTGTAAGAACCATAGAGATTATTTCAACTAATGTAGAATCTAAAATACTAGCCTCAATAATTATCGGACGCCTAACAAAGACGAGAGGATAGGGCTGATTTTAGATCTGGTCATGGCTGCATCGACCACATATTCAACATTCGTCAGGTTTTGTAACACAAGTCAACACTAAAATTTTCAGACATCTAAGTGACATAAGACAAATAACTTGAAAACAGTCATAGGACTGATAAAAAGGAGGCTTCAGAATTCTACAGAAATAGTCTTTCTTCTCACTGATAAGATGACTTTATCTTTTACTCTTATTTATTTATTGCATCATCGGTTTCGTTCACTGAAATGGATGGCTTAGGTGTGAAGCATTCATTGTTCATCTGAACATAATTGTCAGTACAAACATTTAGTGAGCTTCAATACTTTTCTCCTCATTTTAATTGCATCATTTCTCAACTCTTTCAGTTTCTAGCCTCATAAATATTATATCACATTGCTTTATTAGTAATTATAATCATTCTGCGGTAACTCGTTTGATGATGCCGTAACTTGCTTGAAGTATAATAGTCTTGATGATTATTCCAATAAATTTCTTAGAATTACCTTATTGTAATATTATATTCAATCTTTTAAGACTTTATTTCGTTCTTATATTATTAAGCAGTTAAATGAACTCCCGACAAACTACATTTATGTATCAATTTGTATTTTTCTCTTTCTTTCGACACTTAAATAGTACAAAGTGTAAGAAATGAATAGGAGAACTTAACGAAATAAAATGGAATCATGTATTCTAATCGAATTGTTCTCACTGATTTCCTTCAGATATGTAATTAATTCATACAGAGATCATTTGAACAAAATTGACGCTTATATGATTAAATAGTCAAGAACACTAAACTAAAACTAATCTGACACGTAAATAAGTTGTGTATAGTTTACAGTTCTTAAAACTAATCACTTTCTTTACATTTAACATACTCTATGTTTATTTGATTGTCCACTCAAGACCATTTTTATTCCACCAACGATCGAAGAAATCAGACAACTCAAGAATGGGAAAGCAGCAGAACCTGAAAATATACCAGCTGAAACACTAAAGTCACGTTGAAGTAACTGCAAACATGCTCCACCTTCTATTCACAAAGATTTGGAAGGAGAAGCAAGTGCCGACGGACTGGAAAGAAGGATAGCTCTTCAAGATTCAAAAGAAAGGAGATCTGAGCAAATGTGAGAACTACAGAGGCATCACACTATTGTCAGTATCAGGAAAAGTTTTCAACAGAATGTTACTGGACCGGATGGAACACACAGTAGACACCCAACTTCGAGATCAACAGACTGGATTCCGTAAGGATCGGTCGGGCACAGACCGAATTGCGACACTACGGATCGTCATCAAACAATTGGTTGAGTGGAACTCGTCACTATACATCAACTTCACTAAATATGAGAAGGTGTTTGACAGTGTGGACAGGAGAACATTATGGAAACTCATTCGACACGATAGAGTTCCTGAGGAGATTGTCAACATTATCTGGAACTCATACGACGGACTATGGTGCAAGGTCGTGTATGAAGGACAGCTGACAGATGCATTCCAAGTAATTACTGGAGTCAGACAAAACTGTCTAGGAAAGCACGTTGGAAGTGGATAGGACATACGTTGAAGAAATCACTGGACTGCATCATGAGGCAAGCCCTAACTTGGAATCCTGAAGGGAAGCTGAAACGAGGAAGGCCAAAGAACACATCACTCCGGGATATTGAAACAGATATGAAATAGATGAATAACAACTGGAAAGAACTGGATGGGATTGTCGAGGATAGGGTTGGATGGAGAGTGGCTGGTCCAACTTGGCACTCCAACACAGGGACCTTCACTTGAAACGCCATCGAAGGGAGAACTTCAACTCATGGATGCGCTCTCACCGAGCTGACGAGTCCTAAGTAGGAAGAAACGCGTATCCTGGTATTCACATCTAGCCTCCACGCACCCACGTTATATATATATATATATATATATATATATATATATATATAACAAAGAATATTTGGTGGTCGAAAATCAATAGATTCGTGATTTTGGTTAAAAGAAAATTTGAGCGAACAATTACTCTCAACAAATTCATCATCAGGTTCTACAGTTTATAAACATTGTGATACTTGGACCAAAATAAAGCACGCAATAATGAATTTGACAATGTTACATGTTAAAAATGGTGAAGGTGTGCATCTGTTACGACATAAATACTTCAAAATTGAGTTATTTGAGTTATTAAATCAGAAAGGTCGTACAATGAAGGTCAGAATATTTGTAGTAAATTGTCAAGTCATAATCAATATAACAGTAATATAAAAAAACGTATGAATAAAATGCATAGTAGGAGAATTTCACCATGTTAATCAAGGTAGCAATAATAACGTTGAGTGAAAATAATATGTAACAAGAGAGGTGTTATCAAACTAATTATGATAAAAAAATTCACATGAATTAGAAAGATGACTGTATAGGTTAAAAAAAATATAAACATGAAAGGAATTGGGAAGGGGATAAGAGGTTTATGATATGCAGCTTAGGTATCTGGTGATCCATTTGTAGACCAGGGTAAGAATGCGGTCCTTGCCTTGCCAATCCTCGCCTTTACATCTGCATCAGATCCTCCTTGTTCACCAATGATGTTTTCCAGGTACGTGAATGCTTCCACATCTTCTAGAGTTTCTCCATCAAGTGTAATTGGCTTGGTGTTCTCAGTGTTGCATTTGAGGATCTTGCTTTTCTCTTTGTGTATGTTAAGGCATATTGATGCAGAGGCTACTGCTGCATTAGTTGTTTTCGTCTGTATTTGTTGGTGTGTATGGGATAGGAGGACCTTAACTGACTCCAATAATTACTTGGAATGCATCTGTCAGCTGTCCTTCATGCACGACCTTGCACCATAGTCCGTCGTATGAGTTCCAGATAATGTTGACAATCTCCTCAGGAACTCTATCGTGTCGAATGAGTTTCCATAATGTTCTCCTGTCCACACTGTCAAACACCTTCTCATATTTAGTGAAGTTGATGTATAGTGACGAGTTCCACTCAACCAATTGTTTGATGACGATCCGTAGTGTCGCAATTCGGTCTGTGCCCGACCGATCCTTACGGAATCCAGTCTGTTGATCTCGAAGTTGGGTGTCTACTGTGTGTTCCATCCGGTCCAGTAACATTCTGTTGAAAACTTTTCCTGATACTGACAATAGTGTGATGCCTCTGTAGTTCTCACATTTGCTCAGATCTCCTTTCTTTTGAATCTTGAAGAGCTATCCTTCTTTCCAGTCCGTCGGCACTTGCTTCTCCTTCCAAATCTTTGTGAATAGAAGGTGGAGCATGTTTGCAGTTACTTCAACGTGACTTTAGTGCTTCAGCTGGTATATTTTCAGGTCCAACTACTTTCCCATTATCAGAGTCTAAACATATATTCCAGAACGAGCGGCAGTCTTCTATTGAGCATCTAACAATGTCTGATAGCAATATGGTCTATTTAAATACATTGTTGGTTTGTTGCAGGGGGTCGCCATTTTAGATGATGTCTCTCTTTATGTTTAAAATTAGTGCTTGTTAACAATAAACGATTATCTAAGTAGTTGCAGCGAACGGTTACCATTATCTGTTCGTTCAGCCAGAATACTAAAATACCCACCTAAATGTCTTTCTGTTTGTTTTAAGCTACCTATCGGAGCGTTGAAGTCACCTGCTACTAGTACTGTCAGAGCGTTCAGCTTTTTGAAGTTCAGAGAACTTTCTCTAAAATTCAACTTTCACTTCAGCCGAGCTACAGTCAATGAGAGTGTAGTCAGAAATGACGAGAAGGCAACGATGTGTATCCCCGTCCTTCCGAGTTCTTACGGAGCCGTTTAGCTGAAGAGCGTATAGGTAACTGTTAACAGGCATTTATTCTAAAACTTATTATTCCGCCCACATACTAAGTGCTACGCCTACACCCGCCGTTGGGTCGCCAGATAAACCAAGGGTATGTCTCGTGGCTCTCCACTTTGTCGACGTGAGGTCAAGTGAATGACCACACTGAGATCTTGTATGCGTGTTTCGGAGACACAACATATACCAGTGGTACGAGATTGTAGGGTCTTAGCCAAGGAGGCTTGCTGTTCGGTTTGACATAGGGTATATTGAAGGCTTCACTGTGTAGTTTGGAGGGAGGTTTCAGTAGACTCGAGAGTCCCTAACGCACTAGAATCTTTGACCATGGTGACATTTAGGGAGGAAGTCGGAGTAAGTTTAGAGTTGAAAGTTGAGGGAGAAGGAATAATATAAATTGAATAGAGAAATTGATTGTGAATACAGTAGTCTTGAGTGCCGTTAGAGGTCTGAGGATTCTTGTAGAGGTACCTAAAAACGAAATTGGATTAGAGTTGGTCGAATTCAGGAATCAAGGGAAAACAGAGTGAATGCACCTCCACCACTGCGAACGATTCTGAGTCATGTCACCCGAAGTCTCTAAACACAGATTACGATAATCACGCTGACCCAAACCAGGTAGTCAACACCTGTTAACAAAACGTAGCCCAATAGTCAATAGCTCCATGAACTGGCCCCATGCTTTGATCTGCCCGCCCTAGCCTTCTTCTAGCCCACCCAAACACTAGACAACACCGCCCATCGAGGTAGGTGGTAGTTGAGCATACGTAATGTATGTCCCAACCACCTCCGTTGACGGAAATTTACTGACTCGTCAATTGATTTCCCATACTTACATAATATCTTATAACTAACCCAAACATTATTTACTCGATGATCCCAAAATACACGAGCAATGCTTCAAGGACACCTATAATCGAATAATAGGAACCTACAAATATCCTGTTTTTGATGGTCATGTTTTACGCCTGTAAATTAGGACAGATTGGACAGCTGCGGAGTAAACTCGTTCGTTGGTTAGAAGACGTATATCACATTTACGCCAGCTAGTTGGTAAGAGCCAATCGATCCTTCTGGGTCCATGTTGAGATTTAGTCACACACCAGTACATCATGGCTGATGATAGTCCCAAGATAAGTGGAATGTTCGACGTACTTCATCACACCTTATCATTAACTCAAGCGTCAACGCAAACCAGTCCTTAACCAGATGAGCATAGAAATTTTCTTCATAAACCAGAATATACACTTACCAATTAAATCCACTGGTACACTCTTATTCTTCAATACCCATTGGAAAATTTTGAGTAACTCTTCATAATCAGCATCTGAGATACTCCCGCTATAAAGTGGAAATATGAATGTTTTTGTAGCGCCAAACCATAAATTACCTAATAATTCTCAGCATGTCAATAAACGGTAAACACAACACAGATATGGTCTTGAAAGTTAGAGGAAGAATAATTTCGAAAAAGATTACCTAAGGGATAATTTCAAACCTAAAGATTTTTTTCTACACTGACCTATATTTTCATTTTAGTCACAAATAAGACAAAGAAAGCTTATGAATGGTTGAGTCATATATTATTTTATGTTGCTTACATGTTTTAATGACAATCAGTTATGTAAAAACTCGTACTTCCGAAAATAACTACCAATTAATTAGCGATCACCAACTAAAAGATAAGAGCCATCGTTCAAGAGAACTGACTTTTAATATTATGAACTGACTTCTATACACCACAAAATATTAAGTGAATCCGTGGTTTATAGATTCAGGTTTATGAACATCAACCAGTAGTTTCCGCGTTCGAGATTCACTCCATTCGCAGAAATTCAGACATCCATATTGCAATAGAAATCCTGAAATAATGTGTGTGGCTAACAGGCTAGAAAATATAACTGTAAACTATCATTGAATTAAATTTATTTAGATTCACAAGTAACTTTATTTTAAAAAGTAGTGATTGAGTACTTGATGGATCACATATAATGATGAAACAGATCTTCTAATAGCATTTAGACACAGCTTGTTGTCAATGCTAAAAATAGTTATAAGTATGACTATCACAAACAATAAACTATTATATTTAGCACTACGCCGTGTCAATATTGAACCAGATAGGCGTGCAATTTAAAGGCCATCACGATCAGTCAATGTCTCAAGTTTATATGACAGTTCACATTAGATCATAAGACAGGTGTATTTACGAAACGTATTCATTTTAGGTTGCTGAGTTTTGCTTTATTGTCATAGATTTAGTATTTATATATCTATACAGCTTTTACCTGGTTTATTTTTACAATTGTTTTTGATCCACTACGGTGCGAAGAATTTTAAACCGATTGTCTGCTTTGCCAGCTGTTTATTTCATTTATTTATTTATACACAAATAGTGGTACAAAGAAGCACCAGATACATATGCGCCGCACAAATCTCATTCGATTTGTGTGAGGGCTGTGATACTGCTCAGGTGCCCAAACTGAAGCAGGTGGATTTCTTAGGGGACCACACCCCGAGCCTTTGACCTAAAGGTCTGATCCACAAGGCAGTGGAGCATCGTGAGGAGATGCAGTCCCATGGAAGCCGGTGACTAACAATAGGTTCATAAGCCATTCGTTCCAACTCTCCTAGGTGGACCTCCGTCTCCACCGACCCGGTTAAAGCGCCGAACATCCGCTTTTCGTCCTCTCACTTTTGTGAACAACACCCCCTCCACGGGAAGACAGTGAGTAGGAATTCCCTGGCAGAGGCTATATATTCGCGTGGCCATGTAAGAGCATTTCAAGAGGGATTGCGGACTCTCCCCACCCTCGACCGTACCAGGGCATTTCGGGGGCAGTAGTAGTAGTAGTAAAATCACGAAGTTTAGTTCAAGTTAGGATCGGTTCGGTGTCACGAAAATACAATAACACCAATCTCATTTAAAAATCCTCGACTTACGAGGAAGGATTAAATATACCACTTACAATGCACAAAAAATTTATTACTCTAGAGAAATTCCAAAACTCTTCACGAGCAAACTCGTCAATAAGTATATGTTAAAGAAACTTTTGAGACTTACTTATTGTGCATACTTTCTGTAAAACAGTACCAACTGCTATGGATTGACCTTTCTAGTAGACGTACAGGTTTAGTCTGGATTTGAAGCGAAAGTAGAAAATTTCGATAAACCCTACGTAGTAACGAAGGCATCACTATTTTTTAGTTTAAATATTGTTAATTTTTGAATATTTTATGGGGATCTTTAAACGGTAGGATTAAACTATACTGCCGACCTTTGAACGAATCTTAAATGACCTTGAGAAATATTAGCCAATCAGAAGACAGTTAGTATACAGTAAAAATATATTATACAAAGCCAAAGAATTAAAGTGGAAATACTTCTTTTGCATGGGTTAAAAACTTCTCAAGGTCAGATATAGGTTCAGAAGTTCTAAAATCATAGTGCATAGGGTACAGGAACACATCCATATGGCTCCATAGTAGTCGACCTCTGAAACCATGATAAGGTCTCAAAAATTCTTTTATCCTCGACCACATAGCTTCAATAATGTTAGTATATTGTTATGGTTTACGGGTTAGGGTTAGAGTTAAGGTTTAGGTGTAGGATTTCGGGTTATGGGTGAGACTATAAATTATGGACAACATTTGAGCGACGCTAGAGTGATTCTGAGAGTGTCAACATAATAACTAAGACCAAATGAGGGTTATAAACCTGTCTGAAGAATTCAAATTATGATTTACAATTCATGATTAAGGCTAGGAATTATACTTAGGGTTTTCATCACGAACTGACATCAGCTATAATGCCAAAACTCTATAATGCCAAAATCTTATGATCACTTCTATTGTGGACGCTATTATCACGTCTTCCCTAAAATCCGCTGTAAACCGACCGTACGTAAGCATCAGGTACCGAACTTAGCGCTGCGACCTTGAAAACTCGCGAAAGCTTCTGATTGGCTCGACAGTATAGTTTAATGCTATCCATCTTATCAACGTTGGTTCACAAAATTAAGCAGAATTAGCGCCTTTAACAACTGAATTTTTACCCAAATACTAGTACACAAACCGGTTGAATTACACCCGAGCTATCCATACACGTACCAACAACAAGGCTAGTAAGCTACTCTTCCACCTTCAAAACAGCAGAGATCGGCGACGAAGCACCTTAGTTAAAGTTTAAATGTTTACTGTACGTGTATAGATAATATATATAGTATGAGTCAGAATAAACTTCACTGAATTGCTGGTATATGTACATATGTTTTCCGATGACTATGCAGTAACCATCTTGGTATCACAAAGATCACCACATATTGTGATATGAAATGAGAATTATATTGATAAATTTCGAGAAGATTGAAACTAACTGGAAGTAATTCTTACTATTTGTTGCCAAGTGTTAACGTAAGATTCTTTGGGTAAAAATTATGGAAATACCTTACTTATAGGAACAATGACGCGTTTCCGTGGTCTATATGTCTATACTGTTTACTAACTTCATATACTGAGACTCATCAAATAAAAATTGGCTAGCCAAATTTCCGATAACTTAATTAACTTGCGAAATGTGAGGTATGTAGGATTAAACATGGTAGCAAAAAATACAGAGACGATTCATCTTACTGGGGGTTTTGACTGACGGTCTAGTAATGTCACAAGAACCTGGGCCTGAAAAGGAACAGACCATCGGCGTTGGTCGTGATACATAAGTTCCTGTCTAAATAAAAAAAAAGGAAAATATAAGTTACGAATAGATCATAGCCTCTAGCATCTTTCCATAAATATAGTGGCTCGTGCATGACTTCATTCTTAGGAGATAGCTGCTGAAAGTAACGCAAAAATGTTGACTTTCCACAGCCTATATTTCCCTCAACCATAACCTAAATACTCTAAATTAACAACTGTGTAGAAACCGACAGTCCGAAACTCATATTTCGAAGTCATAACGTCTACAAGTAACTTCGACCTAGAAATTGTTTAGAGATAGTGACGTATATTAACAAATGTGTGCTAAATTCATCAAATTCACCGATTTTCCACAATTTGTTCGTATTATTTAGTAGCATATCATGATAGTGCTTAGTAAGAATAATCTAAAGACTTAAATACAAATATAACTAGGATTCGACCCTTACGAACAGAAGCTGACAACGACACTGTCTGACTTTCAAGTTTAAACCGGTGACAGTACAAGCATTGGCGTTGATTGGTTATACATTTAACGCTTCTTATCTGAGGAACTCAGTTACTAGCCAAAACTATCTATTTCAATCCAACTTGATAGAACTTTGAAACGTTTTCTTCTATTATTTCTATGGTTAATCGCTTTACACCCCACTAACGTCCTAGTAACATATTATTACTCGCTGTTTCCCGACAAGTTTCTGCCGCCTCCTTTCTATTTGTCTTAAGGCTCGGCAACACCTGGATGATACATAATTATCGTTTGGCGGCGTCCGGCACCCGACTACTTTCAACATGTTTAGTACTGATTCAAACGACCATCAAATCTGGTGTGGGAGTATTGTAGGGCCAGTGAAATGTCATTGAGCCCTGGGCAAACCATCCGAACAGTCATCCGTCTCTGTCGAAGTCAAAGACAACCATCATCACTTAATCATGCTCCAACGACTGGTCCATGCGATGGTGGTCTCACTAACTTCTATGCACTCATTCTTATTAATATACGTAATGACGTCCTTTGTGTTATACAATCTTCAAAAGAGCCATAGTACTTTGATATGTTAAAGGGCTAATCCACGTTAGACGCCAACCGCAAAGTGTAACTTCGAAGCTATCTGGTTCGTCACACTATTCCCCTCTACTCAAGTAAGCTCCCAAAAAATCGACATAGATCATCTACGTTGGTGATCTACAAATGCAACAGACTAAGTGAATTCTGTGAGTACTTCGTATATTTATAGTTGGGTGAGCCCTATATTCAAAATATCTGTCTTTACGTCTTTGTGTTTTCTGTCTCTATGGCAAGCTCTCACGAAAGGGTCGGTTTCTGTACATTTGTTTTCATTGATTCAGTACGACTGAAAGTCTTTGAAAATATCCAATAAGCAGTGGTCCTGTATGGGGTTTGTATGCTCTAACGAATCGTTAATACTTGATGACTGCTTGATTTCGCATCACAAATACAATAAATTCGTTTGCGCTCATCGACTATCTTTTAATTAAATTACGTTATTTCTGGGATTCCTAGTTTGTACAATAATTAAAATACTCCTAATTATCACATTGGTGTCGCGATGGAGCCTATGATGAAACAGTTGATAATTCATCTTCTGAAGCTTTTAAGGATTATTTGGAAAGGTTTGAGATATGTAGCACGATCAAGAAAGATGTGAAGCTTGATAAAATTGTGACACATTTTCTTATTTTCATCGGTAAAAAGGCCTACAGTTTATTAAAAATTTTGGCATATCCAGATAAGCATATCTCACTTCCTTATACAACTCTCAGGGAACTACCATTCAATCACGTAAACTGTACCAGTTTTAAATGTCGTGAGAGAACAAAATTTCTTAAAATGATTCTCCAGAATAGCTTAAAGGCTAAGGACTTCATGCTTGAATTACAAAGACAAGTGCCAAGTGCAATTTGGGTGATTAACTTCATGTCAAGCTGAGGGTTCGATTAATCTCAGGAATTAACATACCCGGTCTCGAAAGAGGGCTGTTAAGAATGCTGAACTGTTCCCTTCAAGATGCTAGGACTGCATGTATTAACTACGAAGCAGTGGATGAACTTGATATGCCTTCGATGAAAATTTCTAATACTTAGCTCAGTCATCATGATGAAATGCAATCTCAGGTTCGATCGAAATTGAGTTCGTGTACTCCATCGCCAGTACCGTCTGAGGCCTGTCAGAGAATTCATGAAGATTATTGTGGTCCGTTTCTTGGCAAACACTATCCACTTGTAGTCGCTGGTTCTTTTTTCTTAAAGGGATGAAGTTTTTTCACAATTTGACCAAATTCTGAATTCACGATCCATGAATTAAGAAAGGTGTTCAATCGAGAAGGGTTTCCCATAGTGTTACTGACTTATAATGGCCGGCTGAAGGGCATAGGGTACATACATCTGTTTACCTCTCCCAGGAACCCTCGTTGTAATGGTCAGGCAGAAAATTTTGTCAGGACATTGAAAGCTCTTGTTGATTCTATTGCTGCTTCAACATTTAATGAACTAGAGATGAGAGTACATACATTTCTACTGTGATAAAGAGGTGCTCAACATTCTGGGACGAAAAAGACGACGTCAAAGCTATTAAAAGGAAGAATTTTTCGCTCGAATATGAAGTGCTTGGAGTCTGCAGAAGTTACAAATTATCGTGGAAATAATCTTTGACCAGCTACTGGATTGTGGTGAAAAAACTTGGGAAATCTATAGATATCAATGTCCCCAGTATACACAACTGACATGTCGATCAATTACAATTCCAGGGACCACGTGAGTCTGTTCCGATTTCAATTGTTAATTATAATAGTATTGAGTACATTCTAGATAATACAGAGTCTTTATCGAATACGCTGCCGGATAGATACACGATAAATTTAAGACGTACAATCGATTACAGACAGTTAAACTCCAATTTATGCTGTGGTGGATATGGTGCTTGTGTGAACTAACGAATCGTTAATACTTGATGACTGCTTGATTTCGCATCACAAATACAATAAATTCGTTTGCGCTCATCGACTATCTTTTAATTAAATTACGTTATTTCTGGGATTCCTAGTTTGTACAATAATTAAAATACTCCTAATTATCACATTGGTGTCGCGATGGAGCCTATGATGAAACAGTTGATAATTCATCTTCTGAAGCTTTTAAGGATTATTTGGAAAGGTTTGAGATATGTAGCACGATCAAGAAAGATGTGAAGCTTGATAAAATTGTGACACATTTTCTTATTTTCATCGGTAAAAAGGCCTACAGTTTATTAAAAATTTTGGCATATCCAGATAAGCATATCTCACTTCCTTATACAACTCTCAGGGAACTACCATTCAATCACGTAAACTGTACCAGTTTTAAATGTCGTGAGAGAACAAAATTTCTTAAAATGATTCTCCAGAATAGCCTAAAGGCTAAGGACTTCATGCTTGAATTACAAAGACAAGTGCCAAGTGCAATTTGGGTGATTAACTTCATGTCAAGCTGAGGGTTCGATTAATCTCAGGAATTAACATACCCGGTCTCGAAAGAGGGCTGTTAAGAATGCTGAACTGTTCCCTTCAAGATGCTAGGACTGCATGTATTAACTACGAAGCAGTGGATGAACTTGATATGCCTTCGATGAAAATTTCTAATACTTAGCTCAGTCATCATGATGAAATGCAATCTCAGGTTCGATCGAAATTGAGTTCGTGTACTCCATCGCCAGTACCGTCTGAGGCCTGTCAGAGAATTCATGAAGATTATTGTGGTCCGTTTCTTGGCAAACACTATCCACTTGTAGTCGCTGGTTCTTTTTTCTTAAAGGGATGAAGTTTTTTCACAATTTGACCAAATTCTGAATTCACGATCCATGAATTAAGAAAGGTGTTCAATCGAGAAGGGTTTCCCATAGTGTTACTGACTTATAATGGCCGGCTGAAGGGCATAGGGTACATACATCTGTTTACCTCTCCCAGGAACCCTCGTTGTAATGGTCAGGCAGAAAATTTTGTCAGGACATTGAAAGCTCTTGTTGATTCTATTGCTGCTTTAACATTTAATAATAATAATAATAATAATAATATATTTCTGCATTAGCAGGTACACGCCTTTTTTACAGGCATGATCTACAATTTACAACATATACTGGTTCACAGTATGCATCCCAAACAAGGTTGTTTAGTAATTATAATCTATAAAAGTTGATAGCAGTTCATTCGTTCAGATATAATGTGTTTTCATAAGAATAGTTTCCAAAGGGGCTTAGCGTCCACGTTATATACCAGATCCAATCTCGACAAAAAGTGTAATAGGGTTTCGGTAGTTCTAAGTATTTATGTAATGCAGCTTTTTAAGTTTATAGTTGTTATAAAGTAGGCTTGTGGAGCGCCTGGTTTGAGCTATGACCTTGGGAAAGCGCGTTCGTCAAGCTTTTTCCAGATGTCAGAAGTTACATAGCTTCACCCTCAGAGCAAGATTCTGAAGAGAAAAAATAAAAGAGAAACCGAGGAGCAGCAAGGCATTTGGATATGAGCGATAATCAATGCTTAACATTTATTAGTGGAACAGATGGAGGTATGATAAATTATTAGATTAAATTGATACTAGCTCATGTTGCAAGAGTAAACTGCGATTAGGGTCTCCAGAAGAGAGAAGGCAGTAATAAAGAACAATGAGTTGTTATATTTATCAAGGTGGAGTAGGTTCCAATGAAGGAGGGAAGTCATTGGAATGAGGAAGAACAGAGAGTGCATATAGAGAGTAGTGTTAAGTAAAATAGAAACCATATCCTTTACAGTCAGTTTTTTTTCTTTTCTCATCCGATGCCTGCCACACAGTGTTCATGTAAAAGTCCGAGTTAGCATGTTAAAGGTTGTCTTAGTAGAATAGTTAATCCAGCACAAAAATTGGAATCATGAGTCCTAATGGTGAGTGTAGGTGAACAATCTCAATATCACAGATCTATTGACTTGTTCTCATCCATAAAGAGCCTGATACAAACAAAATGTTCTGCCCCACAAACACGGGTGGATTGAAATCATCGCCCACACCATCAGTGCTTGCTGGTCAGTAACTCCACCCTCCCTCCTTTTGTGATGTTAGGCTCATTTACGATTATTTTTTGGATACATATCATACCTCACACAATGCTCTGTGTTTCACATCCTGTTGGAAAACACTATTTCTATAAGTACCATGTTACAAG